GACAGAGAGACGCTCATCAGACAGACAGAGACGCTCAACAGAGATGCTCATCAGACAGACAGAGAGATGCTCATCAGACAGACAGAGACGCTCAACAGACAGACAGACACGCTCAACAGAGAGACGCTCGACAGAGAGACGCTCAACAGAGAGACGCTCAACAGAGAGACGCTCAACAGACAGACAGACAGAGAGACACTCATCAGACAGACAGAGATGCTCAACAGACAAACACTCATCAGACAGACAGACAGGCGCTCATCAGACAGACAGAAACTCATCAGACAGACAGATAGACGCTCAACAGACAGACAGAAACTCATCAGACAGACAGACGCTCATCAGACAGACAGACAGACAGACGCTCATCAGACAGACAGACAGACAGACAGACGCTCATCAGACAGACAGACAGACAGACAGAAACTCATCAGACAGACAGACAGACAGACAGACAGAAACTCATCAGACAGACAGACAGACAGGATGACTGACAGGTGCATTTCCATTACACACTTGCACAAAACTTTTGCGATATTTTATAAATGTAAATCAAAAACTACTGCGAAATGATGGCGTTTCCATTTACCGATGTTATGTGACTAAAACGTCATTTTTTCCTCTCGCCACAATTCATGGCAACGGATGTTGGTAGATTCGTGTATATTGCAGCCACCGCACTAGCCATTATTTTTAATCAAAGGAGACAGCCGCTATGAGGCTTCTGAAACGTGGCGTGGCGCAGCTGGTATAAAAACAAGCATTGAATAGAGTGTCGGAGCCGTAATGCACATGTACAGTGTACACAAGGGCTTATCCAAGCATTAATGGCAAGAAAAACCCTTTATACTTGAGAGCGGCCTTGTATGAAGCGTTTCTTGGAGGTTATAGTACATTAAAGAATGACGTGACCCGTTTTCATTGCAGTTTTGCGATATATTCCTTTTTCGAATTGCCTGAAAAACCACATCATGCGAGCTTAACTTTTTTGCGATTTTTGTGAAACTGACGTGTTTCCATTAGGCGTATTTTTCTATTCACAATTTCAAATGGCACAATTTGAAAGGTAATGGAAACGCAGCTAGTGTCATCTGTCACAGCAGATCATTCATTCATACTGATGGGGGAAACCATGCATCTCAGCACACACACTTCTCATCATATCAGTTTAATTAAAAAAGATTAACAAGATAAATTAGTGAGTTCATGACCATAGTGCAATAAAGACTTTCAGCAGGATCTGAAGCTGCTCTTTCAGTTACACTCACGACAGATTGTTAGGGATTTACAAACTTTTTCGAGTTTATTCACATGAAGACCTCCAAACATCAGTTCACACACAAACACGAGCTTACACCTCTCATGGTGTTTGTGATGCTGTCTATTAAGGGTGCAGTGCTGCGTTTCATGCCCTCATTAGTGTCCTGTTGCACTGGCGCTCATGTAACCAGAGAGCCGTGTAACGCGGCCCGTCTTCTGCTAATAACCAGCAGATATTCACACAGACAGCAGTGATCTCAAGATCAGAATCAGCTGCAAACAACACAAACACCCTGACGTGTTTCCTGTCCATCCCTGCTAACTTCCTGCGGCTGTTTTCATGGTAAAGCACAGGTTAAAGCCGTGTTGTTGGCGGACGACGCTTCGAGTGACCCAACTCTCTTCTCTAATTCCAATCTTTAACTATTCTATCAAATTAAAAGGCAGAAACACCAAAAATATTACCTATAAAATATTACTTAAACCGATTCAGGCCTGACATTATTAAAAATCTTTCCAATTTCCTCAAATAATTAAAAGCAGCGCAGTCAACAAATCATGATTTAGAAACAAGTTGAATACGAACAGCACGCTCACATATGCTGCTGATGGCAGACTAACAGTCATTTCATCAATAATACTTTCCCTAGAAAGACTCTGAGAAATAATATAAGAGTCAGTCCTGACATGAGAGAAAAATATGATGAAATGAATCGTTCAGATTCTATGCTGATTGGATGAGCAGCATTCAAACCACCGATAAATGCACAACCTGTGACACACATCCTCTGTTATTGTTTTTACTCAGAATATTACAGATGACTTTAACACTTCTAGTTACAGGATTTAGCCGCAGTTTTTGTGGATTCAGGCTGCTGGTAAAATGACTGTAAAACGGATAGACTGATCAGGATTTGTGCCGAATCAGAGAGATTTATTCCTCGCTGCAGCTCATTCAGAGGATCTGGGCAGAATGAAGCTTGACTCAGACTTTCTGTTGTCTTTATTTTCATCTGTCTAGCCCTCGTTACGCAAGACATTCGGCCAAACATGAGTCACAGCGCAACCAGTCAAAGCAACACAAACAAACATACTCAATGCAGATTCACTCTCGAGCTGCTGCCATATTCCAGCCAATGAGAGCCGATCCTGACTACAACGTATAACAGAGCCTCTATTATATCATCATCATCATCATCAGATGCGTGTGTGAGGAGTTTAAGACGTTCAGCTGAATCTCAGTAGATTACAGTAAATCCTGGTGTTACTGATGTGATCTTGTCGGAGTCTGAACATGCTCTCACACAAATACAGGCGTCCAGTCGTGTTAGAAAAACCCACACGCAGCGCCACCTACAGGCTGAGAGAGGCGCCGTACTCACCCGTCTGATAAACTGCTTCGAGTGAAGGGAGACAGAGACACGTTTAAAGGAAGAATGAGCGAATAACACACACATTAACAGACACACACACACTCTTGCAGAGGCAGAATGAACAGGTGAAAGTCTACTCAAGAGTCGCTGACACGTTACCTTGATCTCTCGTTGTTCCACTGATTTCTCCCATATCTGCTGGTCATACGCACCGATCTGACAGAAGAGACACAGACAGGTTATACATCCAAATCAGTCAGAAATCATCCAAACAGTCAGTCGCCTGTGTTTAAACAGACTCTCTCATTGAGCGTCACTCAATCTCCTGAGACTGGAGAATCGCACTGATCTGTCACCTGTCAGTCCAAACACACCCAGAGTTCGTTATGTGTGTTCATTATGTGATGGGACACGTTTAAAGAGGCGGCGGTAACGAATGTTTTCTGGGTTGGAGCGCCGGAGCAGGATGGAGGTCTTGCGGATCGAGTTTCTGGAGATCTGTGGAAACACGAGCGTGAATGGATGCGATGCGCAGCTCTGATTGGTCTGATTGTTGCCGGGGGCAATAAGTACCGCGACTCGGTGTCGTGTGCACGCTGGAGGTGAAGACGGCGACGCTGGACTGAAGTCACACGGTGGAAAACACTCAATTCACAAGTTCAGTCTCATTAAACATACAGCGAGCGCACAACCCTGCAGGAGAACAACCTGTGAGTGTTGCTCTGACTAAGCATCATCTGTTTTGTTGTGATGTCGTCGATTCAGGAAACAGTCACAGGATTCGTCTATAACTACAGTGAACCCAACTCTAATAAACCCTTCAGCTTCAGTTTGTCAGAGACATCAGAAATCCATCCTCTATCAGTCCAGAACGTCGTCATCATCATCATCATGACAAACAGAAGCTCAGACACATGAAGTCAATGTGAGGAAACATCAAAAGATCTCAGTTCGCTCACCTTCTTCTGGTACCAGAGCACAGCATCACGCACCTTCGACGCCATTTACATGTCAGGAGTCACACGCTGGAGCATTTTAAGCTGTGAGAGAGAGACGGGAGGAGATCAGACGGAGCTCTGCGGTCTGATGCACTTAAGCTCTTCTTACCTGCAGCACAGGTGTGTCCAACACACACACACACACACACACAGAAGTGCAGTCACACACATAGTTAGCATGATTGTTCTGCACACAATATTGTCATAGAGATCAACACTAACAACAAACAATGAGAGAGGAGGAAAAACTACACAGTTACATGTTTTATCTGAAGCGAATGAAATGGCTGGAAACACTGCACAACTTCATTTCCCCTGATTTGCAGTCTGCAGAAGCTGACGCTAGTTGCTGAAAGTCAGAGCCAGAGATTTGAGTTGACAGATTTCATAAATTAGTGTCTGATGGTCTCAGACTTTTCAGCTTCAGACTCCGATTTAATCCAGTCAGAGGAGATCTTCGAACACGTTGTTTTATTTGTCACGTGTCTCCTACTAGTTTAGTGTTTCTCCTCTGTGACCGTTTACAAAGTCGGTAAGTTTATCATGCCTAGTGTTTTAAGATCTGTTGAGATTTTAAAAGTCGTGTAGTTTATTCCAGCCTTTAACATCTCATCAGTTCATACAAACACTGAAGTGTTCATGACATCGCTGTTTCTAACGCCATGATCTACTGTTTAAGATACAGGAACTCATCTACTATCTGTCTGATTCATGAGCGCTAGGAACAGACTGACCTCACACACACACACACGTTTGTTTGGCTGTACTAGTGAGTTCATCTCATAGACTTCCATTGTTTTTCTCTCAGGTTTGATATTTTCTCTATTTATCTCCTGACCGACTCCTAAACAAACCCTCAAAGAAACCCATGCAAAACACTACATTTGCACAGAAACATGATTGGACTGATATCATGAGCCTTTTCAACTATTTTGTTGTCATGATATTTCACTGTGTAAGTAAAGACATTTTACCCTCACAAATATAGCTCAACGAGTACACGCGCACACACACACACACACACACACACGTGCAGCCAACATAACACTAGATTAGCTTCATCTGTGAATTACGGGTGTGAAACTGGGTGGTTAGAGCGCTGACACACACACACACACCTGATGATGACAGGCACTTTCAGTCAGATTATAGAACTTGATGTTCAAGAAGAGGGCGGAGAGAAAAGCCTCACACACACACTTTGAATGCACCAACTGAATGCCAATCAGAGAAACTGTGTGTGAGTGAGAGAGAGATATTAAGAGATATAATCTTAAAGGTGTCTCTCTCTCTTTCTCTCATGATGTAATACATCATGGAATGAACGCTGAGCATTCTGGGAGTTTGTTCAGTCACTGCATTAATGTGATACACACACACACACACACACACATAGATGAGCTTTTTTTACCTGACCACGTCATCAACAGCAAATTTAGCACAAAGCAGGCAGCAGCAGAACGGGAACATAAAACAGCCTGAAGGGACGCGAGACACACGCCCTCACTAGTGCACACTGAAGAGTGGACAGACCGGTCCTGCGCTCACTAAACACTTTCATTTACATGTGATTTGTGCTCCTGCCAACCAACACAAACATCAACAGCTTCCTGATTTAGGATTCATCTACTGAAAACTGCCAGCTATCAATCCTGGATCAATGAAGGCGATCAGTTGACTCAAAGACACACAGATCAATGTGATTCAGAGTCAGATCCCATCATGCTGTCATTAACGGATGCTTTTACAGCAGCAGCGGCACTTCGTTACGCAACAATAAATAAAACCGTTCTAGACAAAGCCAGCAGGAAATAAACACACACACACACACACACGTCCATCTGCTGAGGTGTAACCCAACACATGGCTGTGCATGTTTCATGAAGGAGATGGACAGCAGTGTGTGCGTCACATCTGATACTGTGTGTGTGTCTCTGGAGGTCACACTGCAGCGTGTGTGTGTTCTTCACAGGCTAAATAAAGCAGCGCGTCTTCCTGCATGCGTCTGTAAGAGGAAACGGTTGCATTTATACTGTCTCTTAAGCCTCATGCAGAAACTCAACTCAAAACACAAAGACTCACAACTATACACACACACACACACACACAGACACATAGAGCCACAGAATCTTTCAGTGAGAGATTATTCTTAACCCATCTGGCTAAAGGAACCCGTCACTCAGAGAAGATGAAGTCAGGACTCGTTCAGATGCGTCTATGAAACACGAGTGAACAGATGGATGAGATGAAGAGCGCTGTGAGGAAACTCTGATCTCTGGATAGACGTGAAGCTATTCATGGAACAAACAACTTAAAATAGCCTGCAGAAGCCGCAGCGCTTGACGCTCCAGACACTCACAGAGCTCAGGGTTAAAAACACACACACTCGATTCAGTCCAGACACATTTGCACTCATATTTCAGTCCATCACACACAGGTGTAAGAGAACGTTTCAGAAATGCTTCACTCAGACTGAATAAAAAACTTATTTGACAAAAGAAACACTTCACTCTGAAGAACTTACAGAGAATCTGATGGAGCGCTGCTGCAGGCCGAGCGACCGACACGAGCGAGAACACAACACCGACTCAAGGTCAGAGCTGACACACAGCTGCGGAGAGAGAGAGAGACATGAGAAATAAAAATAAATAAACGCCAATGCTACTCAACCCTAAACAGAACCACTAAATTTGCCAATTATTTATTGATTAAACCATTTAAAGAAAGACAAATCCTCTCCAAATACAGATGAAGTAAGCATGATTTAGAAATAGAGAGAGAGAGACATAGAAACACTTTCTGCTGATCTGTCCTAAATATCACACTGTGAGGGGAACATTTCTCCCCAGATCTGAAGCCCTGATCCCATCATTTACTGAACTCCGTGATGCTGAGAAAATGCCCTTTTACTTGGAGAAGATGACAACTAGAGCCCGACCGATATGTGGGTTTTTTGGGGCCGATACTATATATTCTATATATAGTACCAGTCAATGTTTGGACACACAAATGGGAAAGTGTCCAAACTTTTGACTGGTACTATATATAGAATACAGTATATACATAAACAGAATATATATACATAAACACATTTTTTGCAATGATCACTCAAACGTGGTGATCAAACACTTATAATGACGTGACAGAGATATGTAAGGGCATTTAACAATTTAACAATAAACTTGCGATGCACAAAGTAACGGGGTGTTAGTTGTAACACGTGGTTTGAATATTTATTTTACCATAGTAACATTTAAATTCTGGCTTAAGTAAATTTATCTCAGTTTTTATTATTCATTTAAAATGAGACAAATCTGCTATTATTTTAATCTCCAATCTGTTATTTATCAGTTCAGATAGTTTTTTAAATGCTTCGCTAACTAGCAGAAGACACTAACCAGTTTTAAACTCCAGTTGCGCAGATGGGGCACGTTGTAACTAACCAGGAAATTAACGTTCTTAGAATTGACAAGACAGTTGACCCTGAGAGGTCAGCTAAATATCTACAGCGGATCTAAAATATGAATAGTTAATTATAACTAGTTATGGTTAATTATTCATATTTCCTGTCATGAGCTGAGTCGCTACAGTAATTTACACTATTTACTTTAATTTTAATGAGAAACAGGTAAATAAAGACTGACAGTCAATGTTTAATGTTTAGAAATTATTATTTCAAGACATGTAAAGCATTTTTGCTGGTTTATGTGGGCCGTCCCAAGCACGGTTGCAATGTGTTCATTGTCAAACTCCAAAATCAGATTATTTTTAATTCTTAAAAAACGCCATTATTTTATTTAAACAAACAAAAAATAATAATAATTAAAAATATATATATATATTTATTAACAAAATATTTTAGTTTGTCTTGTATATTGTTTCCATTGGATCAGATAAGATTTTAAGCTGTTACATGGTCATGTTACAACGTGCCCCTCAGATGTTACAATGTGTTCCACCTACGGGGCATGTTGTCACATTTCACTTCCATTTTTTGAGGGTAAATAAAGAAAAACGTATACACTGTAATTATGAAACAAAGCGACATATTTGTAGTAGACAAGTGTAAAATTACTGTGGATAAAAAAATATATTCTGAACCCCATGTGGATTTACACAAACTGAGAAAGTCAAAAAGTGTTACTTTGTGCCCCGCTCTCCCCTACCTCTGTAAATAAATACAATATAAATTCACGTCTCGCACACTTTAATGCCCTTTGAATGTAACGTGTACGTTCCCTTGGAACTGGAATCATAGCGGAATATCATGTGAAGTCTCAAAAAAACAAAAACCCCATACATTCAGTCCCGGGCCGCTCACACACATCTGGACAGGTTCACTGAAGCACTGAATGTTTAGTTATAACTGGTCTGTTCCTGACAGCGGTGGGATTTTAGGCTGTTTGTCTGATCAGATCAACAAAAGCAATGATTGCAGATCAGCATCAGGTGAGTGTGATCTGCTGCTGATTGAGTGAAAGGGCTTTATACTTAAATACAGAAACACAAGTGTGTCTCTGTGTGGAACCCGAGCGCGTTACCATCCGTTTATAAATAACAGTGTGTGTGTGTGAGTGAGAGAGAGAGAGATTTCCCTTATTTTAGTTTTATTTCTAGTTTATATACTTATACATTAGTAATTCATTTTGCACTACATGCTTAATACTTTTTATATATTATTATTATAATTTTTCTTTGTGAATACATATGTGCACTATTTGTGAGCAGTCCAGCTGCAATTGCTTTGGCAATACAAATGTATAATTTTTGTCATGCCAATAAAGCACTCTTAAATTGAAATTGAGAGAGAGTCTAACTGACTGTATTGTGTGTTAATGTGTGTGTGTGTGTGAGTATGTGTCTGTCTGTATGTGCTTGTGTCTCTTTGTGTGTCTGTATCGTATGTGTGTCTGTATCGTATGTGCGTGCGTGTGTGTGTGTGTGTGTGTGTGTGTGTGTGTAAGCTACAGATCTTCATCTCTTACCGTTACGCGCCGCTTCAGTCGTTCATGCTCGACACACCGACGGAAGATTGACGTGATGAAGATGCTGCTGCTGATGAAGATGAAGAAGAGGATCGCGGGTGTTCAGTGTCGCGGTCTCTCGAAGCGGTTACTGAAGAAGAGTCGCCCGCAGCTGTAAGATCCGCGTTACCGGCGCGCACGGAATAAACGCGCAGCCCAATAACGACCGTTAACCGCGCGAAAACCGTCCTAACCACCGTTAACACCGTTACACGCGAGCCTCGCGAGGGATGTGTGCCGCAGGCGGAGACTGGCGGAGGCGTGAGTAACGCGTGAGTAACGGGCGAGTAATGGCGCCCTCTGCAGGTCACATGACCGCAGCGCTTCAGCGCCTAACCGCGTGCTTCAGCGTCTCATAACGCGACAAGAACGCCTGTCCAGCTGAAATAAGCGATGATAAACACGTTACACAACTCCTGAAACGATGGTCAGCTGATCGGTGTTTCTATGGACGCCGATGTTCCACACATCCGGGACACGCTGCTGAACCCGGAAACAGAATCCCGGTGTGATTGACAGCTGCAGACAACAGCGCGCGTCCCAACAAAGCCGAAGAACGATTCACTCGCTTCTGATTGCGATGAGGGCCGTTTAATCACGGTTCTGATGAGAGTTCACGGATGATCCTGCTGGCTTCGGCGGGACTGTGCGGTGAGTGACGTCACGCGCGTGATGATGATGATGATGATGGTGATGACTGCTGGTGACTGACCTGGTCTGTTTGTGTGGTCAGTCGGTGCAGATGTCTCTGGCGCAGCGGGTTCTGCTCACCTGGATCTTCACGCTCCTCTTCCTCGCGCTGCTGGTGCTGAAGCTGGATGGAAAGGTCCGCTGGAGCTGGTTCCTGGTCTTCCTGCCCGTCTGGGTGTTTGACGGCGCTCTGCTGCTGCTGCTGGGCGTGAGGCTGGCGGGCCGCTGCCGGGGTGGGTTCGACCCGCGGCTGAAGGTCTGGTATCTGCTGGCTCTGATGATGAAGGTGGGCTTCTGTGTGACTCTGTGCGCGCGGCTGGAGCAACTGACCAACCTGCGGCTGCTGATCATCTGTGTGCCGCTCTGGACGCTGCTGACCGGAGCCCTGATCCAGCTGGGATACAACATTCTGCCCCAGAGCTCAGACTGACACACACACACACACACACACACTCTCTCTCACTCTCACACACACACACACACACTCTCTCTCACACTCACACACACACACACACTCTCTCTCACTCTCACACACACACACACACTCTCTCTCACACTGTGAGTGACGTCACGCGCGTGATGATGATGATGATGATGGTGATGACTGCTGGTGACTGACCTGGTCTGTTTGTGTGGTCAGGCGGTGCAGATGTCTCTGGCGCAGCGGGTTCTGCTCACCTGGATCTTCACGCTCCTCTTCCTCGTGCTGCTGGTGCTGAAGCTGGATGGAAAGGTCCGCTGGAGCTGGTTCCTGGTCTTCCTGCCCGTCTGGGTGTTTGACGGCGCTCTGCTGCTGCTGCTGGGCGTGAGGCTGGCGGGCCGCTGCCGGGGTGGGTTCGACCCGCGGCTGAAGGTCTGGTATCTGCTGGCTCTGATGATGAAGGTGGGCTTCTGTGTGACTCTGTGCGCGCGGCTGGAGCAACTGACCAACCTGCGGCTGCTGATCATCTGTGTGCCGCTCTGGACGCTGCTGACCGGAGCCCTGATCCAGCTGGGATACAACATCCTGCCCCAGAGCTCAGTCTGACACACACACACACACTACATACACAGACTGACATACACACTCTCTCACACACACACACACACACACGCACTACATACACTGACTGACATACACACTCTCTCTCACACACACACACACACACACACACACACACACTACATACACAGACTGACATACACACTCTCTCACACACACACACACACACACGCACTACATACACTGACTGACATACACACTCTCTCTCACACACACACACACACACACACACACACACACTACATACACAGACTCACACACACACACACACACACACACAGGTTTGTTTTTGTGAAAAGTGGGGACTCTCCATAGGCGTAATGGTTTTTATACTGTACAGACCGTATATTCTATTGCCCTACACCAACCCTACCCCTAAACCTACCCCTCACAGGAGACTTTCTGCTATTTCAGATTTTCAATACACTCCATTCTGTGTGATTTATAAGCGTTTTGATGTGGGCACATGGGGTAATGTCCTGAAAAGTCACCTTCTCCTTGTAATACCTGTCATACCTTTGTCATTATACACATTTATGTCCTCATTTGTCACAAACACACACACACACACACACACACACACACTAAATACACAGACTGACACACACACACACTCACACATTTTGGCCAGCTGTATGAAGACGTTTGTACGTGAACACTCTTCAGTGTTTCTACAGAGAGCAAACATTCCAATGTTTCTGTTCCTTCTCCCCCTTTTTTTTTTTTTAAAGAGAAATTTGACTCTTAAATGAGTTTTGTACATTTGAGTTTCAATTGTATGTGATTTTATGCGTGTGTTTTGATCTTGTAAATATATGTTGTAATGGAGGCTGAGTTTTCCTCCGGTGAATCTCTTGCTGCCAGCAGATGTGTTTTCTGTAGCTGAAGCCAGACTGATGAAGGCAAATACAGTGAAACTAACAGAATAAAAGTCTGTTCATTCATCACATCATCTGACGGCGCAGGAATCTGTCCAAGGTACAGCCAGCGGAAATACAGACTGTCACAATACTGTATCTCTGAGCACAAACTCCTGATACAGCCGTGACCCGATCTTCAGTATGACCTGACGAAGATGTTAATAAATCATCACAGATTATGGCCATTTTAATCATTGGTAACAGCTGCGGGATTCCTGCAGTATCTACTGAAAACCACATCATCTGAAGTGGAGCTGGCATTGAAAATCATGTCACATTGCGCTGAAATGCTCAGGAATGACTGTGTGTGTACTGTCACCGTTTAGAGATCTACAGGCAGTTAGATGGACTAAAATATAATTTGCAAGCAGTAAAATTTAAAAGTAAATTGCACAGGTTTCACGATTTGGAGGAATCTGAATGTTCTAAATGTTGTATGTATTCCATTATTATTATTCACAATACACAACTAATATAAATGAACAGATGTTGTACTCAGTCAGTCGAGTTCAGCAGCAGCATGTGTTTAATGTTCTTCAGTCAGTACAGTCTGTGATCAGTAGATGGCAGCTTGAGATCCATCGATCCTCAGCAGCTCGACTGAGGAAAGAGGAAAGGAAACATTGCTCTCCGTAGGATGCTTAATTAGAAGAGGACTGACAGAAGCCTATTCTTTGAAATGCTGCAGTGACAAATTATTCTATTAGCTTTCATTCATTAGTGTAATCAAAAATACTATCTGTTAAATGAAGATCTGGATCGGTCAGGCTGATTGACTGTGTGTTTGTGACGATCAGTGCGGCTTGTGTGTGTCTAGCCTCACACACACACACACACACACACACACACACTGTGTTCTAGTGGATCTGAAGCTGTAGAGCTCAGATCTTATGCGGTCAGTCAGAAGACGTGTGGCTCTGTAACTGTATGAGATGGAAAGACAGAAGGCCTTCAGACCAACAAATGGAGATCACCTTCACTAACCAGTACTGTTAACTAATTCCTCTGACTCTCCAGAACATCTCCAAGCAGAGCTGAGAGTTTTTCAGCTTCACTGACCAATTGTGACGATCAGTGCGGCTTGTGTGTGTCTAGCCTCACACACACACACACACTGTGTTCTAGTGGATCTGAAGCTGTAGAGCTCAGATCTTATGCGGTCAGTCAGAAGACGTGTGGCTCTGTAACTGTATGAGATGGAAAGACAGAAGGCCTTCAGACCAACAAATGGAGATCACCTTCACTAACCAGTACTGTTAACTAATTCCTCTGACTCTCCAGAACATCTCCAAGCAGAGCTGAGAGTTTTTCAGCTTCACTGACCAATGAGAAGCGTGATGGAGATGTTGATTTGATCACTTCCTGTTCCAGAACGTTCCTGTGTCACTGACTGGAGGGAAAGTATTTTTGTACAAGCACTTTCACGCTGGTTCTCTGCAGCTTTGTGTGTGTGTGTGTGTGTGTGTGTGTGTGTGTTTGGCAGAAGAGGGAAGCTATGCGATCGGCTGCAGAGTCACGTCAGGGCTTGTTGAAGAACATTCCTGAACTCAGCTGCTCAGAAACTTTCTCTTCTCATCTCTACAGAAACAGCAGAGCCAACAGCATCACACACACACACACACACACACACGACTGAAGTGTGTGAGAGACAGACGGACAGATGGATGACTGGGTTTCTCCTGCTGTAGAATGAGTGCTGTCCGTCTTGAGTGTCTGTGGATGTCGTCTCAGTCTGTAGCCAGGAGCAGAAATCGTGTTGAAAGTAAAGCAAGAGCTGTTCTGGGCGGAGGAAGGGTTAGTTTCTGATGAAACCCTGTGGCTGAGTTTGCTTCATATTACCAGCAACTTTACTTCTGCGGATAGTTACGTCACATCCTTTCTGTGTGTCATACATTAGTCAGTGATTTTATCACTCTAGTCTCATGTTTACACGTGATCTTTAGAAATGATCAAGTCTTGAAGCTGTATTTGTGAAACAGTGAATTAGCCCACCCTGCAGCTCTTCATCATCACTGTAAATGTGTTCATGTGCACTGAAAAAACTAGTCTGATTAAACACACTGTACAATATTCAAAAAAATAAATCATTCACTATTAGTTACAATAAAAAATGCATAACAACTACAAGTGATATGTTGCATGATGGTACAGAGTGGAAACCATAAGAAATATAGCAGTAAAATCAAAAACCCAAATATTAATATGACAATAAATGTCAGAAATACTGCTTCATAAATATAGTGTAATATCACGATACATTATAATCTAAACCTTCTGACTAAAGAGTGTTTGTGAGAACATCCATGACACGGCTGAATAAACTCTAATCACTGAAAAACAAGGGAAATGAATTACACTCAACACGAACATCACACGAGTCTGGGACAATGCTGAGAATGACGGTGACGCTGTTAAATAACCCGTATGTCAGCGCGGAAGAGGCGGGTCTAACCTGGATCAGGGAAGTGGGCGGGAGCGTATTCAGCCAATCAGAGATGAGCTCGTAGGACGCAGGGATTGACAGTCAGACCTGACAGTCAGGAACACGGAATCGGAGCGCGTCTTTGATTGAAGTGAAGATTCGCCCAATCACCGCTGCAGAAGTCTCGGTCTCTGTCCAATCACAGGCAGCGGAGCGGCGGGGGGCGGGAGCGCGGCAGCGGCGTCGGGGCGGTCCGCTTGTGTGCAGTGTGAATGTGGCAGCCGCAGGGAGGGGCGCGCTGTTTATTTCATTATTAAAAGTGATTTCTGACAGAAGTTAAAAGTGATTTCTAACGGAGGATATATATCTGCTCCTCAGCGCGACGCGCGCCGCTCCGGTCCGCGCTCTTTCTGCCGTTTCGTCGCGGGGACGGAGAGCATCATGGGTCATAACATGCTGGAGTAATCGCTCAAAAGACTCTTTCCTGAACATATTTATATTTATTTATTCTTTTGCTCCGTGGATGAATGAAACGTCCCGTCAGGATGGAGCAGGTGAATATCCTGAAGAGATTCATTGAAGCCCTGAGAAGCGGCGAGCAGAAAGCAGAAGATAACTTCAGCTCGGACTTCATGGTGAGAACAGAGCTACTCTCACAACACACTCACTCACACACATATACTCACACACACTCACACGCGCACACACACATACTCACACACACACTCACTCACTCACTCACACACACACATACTCACTCACTCACACTCACACATACGCACATACACTCACTCACTCACTGTCACGCACACACACACACACACACACTCACACACAGACACACACACACACACACACACACACACACTCACATACACATTAAAAACTCTCAAACACACACTGAAGCTTCTTGTCGCTTGATTTCACTTCTTTTGACGTGACGAGTAGATTGACAGCAGTGTTGTTGTGTGATGAAGATCGTGTGTGTGTGAGAGATCCTCATCTTCAGCATCTTCATCTCTGCTCTTCAGTGTTGTTGTTGTGAGGGATGAGAGAGAGATGAGTGTGACAGCTGTTGCAGATGCTCATGATGGAGGAGTTCTTCATCTGGTGTCTGTGACGATGACTCCGGCCGATGAAGGTCAGCTGTGATCAGTTTATCTGTTAATTATTCAAATGAACGAAAGCAGTCTGGAGAATGTCTCCTGGCCGCTGATGTGCTTGTAATTAGTTGGTCATGTTTGTTCATAAACACTCTCAGCTGATGGAGCACGCGCACACACACATACTCACACACACACATACTCACTCACTCACACTCACACATACGCACATACACTCACTCACTCACTGTCACGCACACACACACACACACACACACTCACACACAGACACACACACACACACACACACACACACACTCACATACACATTAAAAACTCTCAAACACACACTGAAGCTTCTTGTCGCTTGATTTCACTTCTTTTGACGTGACGAGTAGATTGACAGCAGTGTTGTTGTGTGATGAAGATCGTGTGTGTGTGAGAGATCCTCATCTTCAGCATCTTCATCTCTGCTCTTCAGTGTTGTTGTTGTGAGGGATGAGAGAGAGATGAGTGTGACAGCTGTTGCAGATGCTCATGATGGAGGAGTTCTTCATCTGGTGTCTGTGACGATGACTCCGGCCGATGAAGGTCAGCTGTGATCAGTTTATCTGTTAATTATTCAAATGAACGAAAGCAGTCTGGAGAATGTCTCCTGGCCGCTGATGTGCTTGTAATTAGTTGGTCATGTTTGTTCATAAACACTCTCAGCTGATGGAGCGCTGTGAGATATTCTGCTGTTGCTTTCTGATCTGCAGCAGTGTGTTGTGGGTAATCTGTTGTGTTTGAGAGTCAGTGAGAGGTCAGAGGTCAGGGGCTTGTGTGTGTTTGGTTCTGTCACACAGTGTCCACACACACACACACACACTGCATTCCTCCTGTGCTTGTTTGTTTCTGCTGCTCTGATTTAATTCTGTGTGTTTTCTGGAGCTTACGAGGATAAAAGTTGCTCCAGTAAAGCTCTGAAATTCCCAGAAGCCCTTACAGGAAGTGATGTAGCAATAGTTTTGTGTGTGATCTGGGGGCTCGTAAGGGTCTTATTTCACATTTTAGCGTATGCTGTCCCACATGTGTGCTTGGATTTGCTTTATTTGCGTTGTGAGGATTATTTCATGTCTTTATGTGGGCGACATATCGCTCGACCTCTGCCTGATGCAGGGGATTATGGGAAGGCAGTGAGGCTTTCTCCTGAATGAACCCTCCTCATGGAGTCACAGCTGTGTGTGTGTGTGCTCTGCATTTCCTGTTACTCAAATACCTTAAACAGCCACAGGGCTGGAGCTGGATGTTCACTTCCCTCGTCTGTGTTCATCTCCCGGTCGTCTGTGACGCAGTGTTCAGCATCAGTCCCGCTCACCGTCCACATACAGCCCGCTTTATATGTGAGAATGATTTGAGCGCTTAAAAAGGAATGTCTACTAGATGGTGTGCATCCATGCTCACAGTCAGCGTAGTGTACTTAGAATGCAGAAAATGAAGTAGCCTATACTTGTAGTGAAGACATGGGATGGGATTGTGATTACTGTGGATGTCACCGTCCCATTAAAACACAGCAGATGATCTGTGTGTGTGTGTGTGTGTGTGTGTGTGTGTGGCTTCTGACCTTGACATCCACATCCTGTTTTGTGTAAAAATACTTCCAGTGAGAAACGAGTGTGTTCATCCCTCTGTCCTGTTTTCCTGTGTTCATTAATGACTCTGTGTGTCATGATGTCACTTTGTCTGTGTGTGTGTGTGTGATGTCACGTTCTCTATTCGTGTGTGTGTGTGTGTGATGTCACGTTCTCTATTCGTGTGTGTGTGTGTGATGTCACGTTCTCTATTCGTGTGTGTGTGTGTGTGTGTGTGTGATGTCACGTTCTCTATTCGTGTGTGTGTGATTTTGCTGTAATGTCACTTTCATGTGAGCTTTCATATATTTGTGTGTGTATGTGTCTCTGTGAGTGCGTATTATTTGCCACAATTAAATTTTTTTCTTTGAATAGGGAATTATGGTTTTGAATAAAAACATGATCAAACATTACAGTCAGACATGTTGCCAATCCACCAGTGCTATAGATGTGAGTGCATGACATTATTATTTTTGGGTAATGTCTGCGGTTATACTGTCAGTCATTTTGTGATTGAACCATCTTGACTTTTTGAGTTAATCTCTAAAATTAAATGTCTACATTCTGGCTAAAAACATTTTGCATTTTTCTAATTTCAAGTTATTTTTGAACATACAGTATATGTTTAATTACAATACTGATATGTTACAATATTTGCCTTCATATTTCACACATCTTTTCTGCTATTTAATTAGTTTTATGTTTACACCATGCTGAACTTCATGTATGCTGCACTTCGAACAGAACTTTCTTTAACCAGATAGTTCAAAGATAATTTTACCTGAATCGTGTTCTTCTCATACACTCTCTCTCACACACACACTCACACACACACACACTCTCTCTCTCGCTCTCTCTCACTCACTCACTCACACACACACACACACACACACACACACACACCCACACACTCTCTCTCTCTCTCTCTCACACACACTCACGCTCTGAAGGTGCTGATGTACACGTCTGATGAACAATGACAGAAAAACGTATCGATTCTTTCCGAGCAGATCTATCTGACACAAGTACATACATAACATCAGTGAGAGAGGACTGAACACATCACGCTTCAGCAGAGCATCACAGATACAGCAGGTCTTACACACTTATGACATAAACACCTTCACTGGACTGTGTGTGTGTGAACTGACCTTCATCAGGCTCAGCGTGAGGTCAGAGCTTACTGGTCACTGCGTCTCAGTTTGTGTGAAACTCCTCAAACATCACAGCAGGTCAAACACTGAGACGAGAGAGAGGACGAGTGGGTTAGTTGTGGCAGGACTGAGTGTTTAGTGATGTCAGTCATGATGGCACTTTGTGAAGATGAACACCGTCCACTGGTCAGAGATCAGCCTGACCTTCTCTCCATCTCACTCTTCAGTTCAGATGTGCAGAAGAACATCTGCCCCAAGAAATCTTGAAGTTGGAAGTGTTTTCTTTGCGTGTGTGTGTGTGTGTTTAATGTGAGATGTGCTACAGATTTGATGAAGATAGTCTCCAGAGTGTCTCGAGTGACAAACTCTTCCTTTGGAACAGTTTTCTTTTAGGGTCTGTCTGTAGTCGTTATAGACATGTTAGGTCAATAGAAGTCAGAGACAGGCTCATTTAGGTAAAAGTGTGTGTGTGTCTGCGTGTGTGTGAGACGTGTCCGTCAGCGATGTGGGTGTCGGCTCTGATGGGGTGGACCAGGAAATGGACCAATGAGAACAGAGCGCAGGAGAACTGTGTCACGACAGCCATTGTTCCTCCCCAACACTGGCAGGAAAGGAAGTATTACAGCCCCCACTCACACACACACACACACACACTGACACACACACACACACACACTGACTCACACTCACACACACACGCGCATACACACATTCACACACACACACACGCACACTCACTCACACACACATGCACGCGCGCACACACTCACACACAGTGTCGGGTGGAATCAGAGCCGCAGGGACGTAGCGATCTGAACAGCTTTAGCTGTTTGTCAAATTTATTTCTGATGCGAATGTCTGTGTCTAATGTAATCTTTCTCTGCTGTTAAGGCTGTTTCTGTATGTCTTTTACAGAGATTACGTCGATTATCAACGAAATATAGAACAGAGAAGATCTACCCCACTAATGTTGGAGAGCAGGAGGAAAACGTTAAGAAAAACCGATATAAAGACATTCTGCCATGTGAGTAAACGACCAATCCAGCACTAACCTAACGCTCATGCTAGCCATCCTGTCATGTGAATGAAGTGTTAGTTATGACTGAAGTTATCACTTCATTTCCAGCGTTATCGTTGACATGATTGCAAAGATATTATTTAAACTGAGCTGGATGTTGACATCACTGAATTCAATGATGAACTGTCTTTAACTGAAAAATTTGTGTTTACTATTGTCATTTTGCATTATTGACACTATTTTCCTAATTAATGCTGTTCAGTTGCTTTGTCACAATCTGTATTGTTAAAAGCGCTATATAAATAAAGGTGACTTGACTTGACTGAAGGGCTTGAGAGCGTCAGAGGTCATGTGACTGATGTTTGTTCATGATGAAGTCTGATCTGGAGCCTGTGAGGTGTGTGTGTGTGTGTGTGTGTGTGTGTGTGTATCTGCTGACATGAAGGTGTCTTTCTCTTGCACGCCAGTCGACCACAGTCGTGTGAAGGTGACGTTAAAAACATCCAATCAGGACACCGACTACATCAATGCAAACTTCATCAAGGTACTGAAGACTTCCTGTGCTTTTCTGCGGCCTTTCCTGTCTCTGTAGAGCCTGTGTGTGTCTGTGCATGTCTGTGTATGAGAATACATAAAACTCACACAGGACTGCTGGCTTCTTGACTCTTGAACTTAAGTGTTTCTTCTCTCTTCTTGCTGTGACACACAGTGAACCATCAACTAGAGCAGGGTACTCGAGTTTAGAGCGGGCTGCATTTAAAGGGGTCATATGATGCTATTTAAATTTTTCCTTTCTCTTTGGAGTGTTACAAGCTCTTGGTGCATGTTTTTTTTTTTAAGGGTAAAAATCTGGAACAAAAAATTGGATTAAGTTTGTTTTGCTATATTGATGCAAACAAAAAATTGCATTCATACTAAGAGTATTGAACAAACTCAAAATGCTAAAACTACAAACATTCTTGAGCAAATATAGTTCACAAATTTCTTTAGAAAGTATTATTTTTCATTTTTATGTTAACTATATTGTATCATGTATTTTATTGTAAACTAGATATCACTATTCTCCCACCATGATTCTGAAAAAAAAAACAGACAACTAAACAAAATAACATGTAATTTATTAGTTTCTAGAAATAATTGCTGCAGTCTATTCATAGAATACAATATTCAACTATTGATAAAAAAAGTTAAACAAATGATTCAATGACTCGCTCATAAAGACTTCACTTGTTTCATTCCTGAATGAATCAATGTTTTTTGAACGAATCTCATTCTAAGTCACTTGTCTCCACCTGCTGGCATTACGTTGTAATTGATACAATCTTTATTTGAAGCATCATCACTTTCGAAAAGGTGATTTATTCTATTTTGATCGCTTCTGTAGACCGCAGTGTTTATATCCGAACTATGAACTTTTATTCCAGTACTTCTGTGATTATTTGAATGTTTGTAACACAGAAATAATGATACAAAATAATTAGTAAAGATGTTTCATACATCTCTCTGGAGCAACGTGAACGCAGATTTGAATGTCACAGTGTGATTCAAGGCTTTAATAGACACAGATAGCTGAATCCTGTCATTTATAAACTAGATTTACTATTTATTTAAATATCCAACAATATAGGCCTACGACAGTAAACATACGACACGACATTATATGGTTTATCTGTGTTCTTCAAGCCATCTCTGGTATTTTCATAATAATAAAGTATATTTGCAATCCAATGCTAATCGACATAACCATTATTACCGTATAGACTCTGCCTCGTTCTGTGACAAAAACCGCACATCGGCTCACAAACTGAAGTAATTTCAAACACTCGACTGATGTTGAGGAGTAAAATCATGTTATTAAATGTCCTCTTGTTGGTCAAGGCTTCTCTTTTAAGTTGTTTGGGGCGTGCCGGCTGTTGCTTTTTAATTGCACGTTAGTTACAGCGCTTGCAGAGATCGAGCTGCTTTTACCACTGTGATTGTATCGCCTACATTTAAATTAAAAAAATCAAGCTGCCTAATATTTTGAGGGCAAATTGTAATAAAAATACATTAATCTTCAGCATGATGCGGGCCTCCTGTTGAGTACCCCTGAGCTAGAGTCTGATGAGTCTGTCAGGACTGTAAGCCGTGTGTTTGGTCAGATCTGATCCTGTGTGTGTGTGTTCAGGGCATCGGCGGGCCGGAGGCCTACATCGCCACTCAGGGGCCGCTACCCAACACTGTGCTGGACTTCTGGAGGATGATCTGGGAATACAAGGTCACGGTGAGTGAATCTGCTGCCACAGAGAGACTGTGTGAGAGTGAGTGAGTGAGTGAGTGTGTCTGTGTCTGTGTCTGTGTGTGTGTGTGTGTGTTTGTGTGTGTGTGTTCTCGTATGTGACACATGACTTCTGTTGCGCAGGTCATCGTGATGGCGTGTCGAGAGTTTGAGATGGGGCGGGTAAGAATTATTTCATTGTTGATTCTCTGCTTTAGTCGTAAAAGCTTCGACTCACAGACTCAAACACGTTCTTCATTCGCTTTCCTCTGCAGAAAAAGTGTGAGCGTTACTTCCCGCTGTTTGGAGATGAGCCTGTGACATTCGGCCCCTTCAAGATCTCCTGTGTGAGTCCGTTACACTTCCCAGCATGCACCACTCTCTCGTCACATGACCTCCAGAGAAGCGTGTTGACTCTGCGGCTGTGACGACAGACGTTATTGTTCACGATGGGATGTGAAGCGCGTTCACTCTGAAACTCGTTGTGACTAAAACCGGATTGTTCTCAGTCACAAGTGAAGCACTGAATTAGACATCTTCAAACGTGGTCTGAAGAACTTCATGGCCTGGTTTCACAGACAGGGCTTAGACTAAGCCAGGATTAGGCCATAGTTCAATAAGGACTTTTAAGTAATTTTTTATAAATGTACCTTAGAAAAAACATCACTGATGTTCATCTTGGGACAAAATAAAGGCACTGATATATTTTAAGATCAGTCGGTGCAACTTTCTTTCAGTTGAAACAACTCAGATTTACATTTTAGTCTGGACTAGGCTTAAGCCTTGTCTGTGAAACGGGGGTAAATGCGGGAATAAGAAGAATCTGGTTTCTCTTCAGTTTGACCAGATTTTTCTTGGGCCATGTTATGGTTGAAAATGTGGAAATACGAATCTATAGTTTGTTAACAGATTTAGTCCCTGTTATGTTCGTTCATGATTCATGTTTGTAGATTTGTGTACCACTGCTCTTTACTCGCGTCACAGAAAACACAAACTGTATCAAATGCATCAAGCAGATCCATGCAGATCGGAGTAAGTAAATAACAGCTGTACTTGACTAACCTCAGAACTCTATTGAGAGTGTCTGATATGGGCTTGTTTTTTTGTTCAGGAGTCTGAGCAGCCGCGGACGGATTATTTCATCCGCACACTCGCAGTGGAGTTCGATCATGTAAGTCTTTATTTCTGTCTGTCTGTCTATTGTATCAGAACAGTTTTTAACCATCAGTCTGTTTCTCTCTGGTCTGTCAGGAAACCCGGCGAGTGACGCAGTTTCATTACGTGAACTGGCCCGATCACGACGTCCCGTCATCCTTCGATTCCATTCTGGACATGATCGCTCTGATGAGGGAATATCAGGAGCATGACGACGTTCCCATCTGTGTCCACTGCAGGTATGAGATCTGCTCATCATGACCTCACGTCTGATCTTCAGTCCCATGAGCCTCGAGCAGCAGCTCCATCTCCATCACGACGTGTTAGCAGCACGACTGATCGCTAGCGCTGACGTTCTCTGGCTTTATCTTGATGGCCAATCAGAAGGACAGGCTGAGGTTCAGGTTTAGTCAGGGGTTTATGGGTGTTGGTTTAGCACGAGCCTAAGAGTTTCATAGGAAATGACTGGGTAGCGTGTCTGATGTTAGCGTGTGTTCTGACTGCAGATGTGTGCTGTATGTGTTGACAGTGCTGGCTGTGGACGCACAGGAGCCATCTGTGCCATCGACTACACGTGGAACCTCCTGAAAGCTGGGGTAACGCACACTCACACACGCACACACACACGCGCACACACACACATATAGTCTAACCACTGAAGGACTGGCATCATTGTGTGTTATTTTGCAGAGAATTCCTGAAGATTTTAAAGTTTTCCAGCTGATTCAGGAGATGAGGACACACCGGCATTCAGCAGTTCAGACCAAAGTAAACTACACAAAACACCCGCTATAGACTGTAGCAGAATATTATGCATTACAAACCAGCGCAGGATTGATTCACTAGCCTCCTGTGTCTCTCTGTACATCAGGAGCAGTACGAGCTGGTTCATCGAGCGATTGCACAGCTCTTTGAGAAACAGCTGATGCTTTTGGAGAGTCCAACAAACTCTGAGCTCACAGACGGGATGGTAAGACCACAAACTCACACTCACTCACTCACACACGCGCTCACTCACTCACTCACACACGCTCACTCACTCACACACGCTCACTCACTCACACACGCTCACTCACACACACGCTCACTCACTCTCACACTCACTCACTCTCTCTCTCTCACACACACACACTCACTCTCACACTCACTCACTCACACACACACACACACTC